ATGAAGAAATAATGGAGAAAAGGAGTCAAGTTTGGAGTTTAAATAGAGTGGAGGAGTTTAAATAGAGTGGAAGTGACGGCTTTTTGAACCATCACTGCACATTGGTGGTTGCATATGGGCAGTTACGCGCAGAGTGGTGAGATTAAAAGGGTATACAGCCATTGATTGATTGGGTTTTTTATTAGTAGGGCATTCGGCTAAGACAACATATAACAAAACCTCATGCAACTTTTCACTAATTTATAATAATGATCACTTTTATACTTTTGGTTTTATTTGAAAATAAGTATCATGTTATAAAATCAATAAGGTATCGATTAATTTTACATACCCTTTTTTTTTTTGAGTAGGATGTGATCGCTGCCTCAGGGTATCCCAGCCTCAGCAAGGCCAAACTAATCCCAGGTGCACTCGCAGGTATCGAGCCCATGACATGGTAGGGAAGGCGCCTTGCGTTCCCGTTTGCGACCAGTCGGACCCGACCCTTGCAGGCAATTTTACATACCCTTAATTTTACATACCCTTTATTTGTAAAAATAATGATGGCAGGCAAAGTTCAAATCAATGATCATATGGTTTGTGAAATTATGGTGTACAGTCTTAGACCTTTAAATTAATAGTGGTGTCTTCTAAAAGGAGCGAATAAGTAATGTGAATGAAAATGCAAAAGACGGATGCGTGCATGCGCATGAATCACATAGTCTAATTACCAAAGTTTAATATTTACATATAAGTCGACTTATATGTGTATGGGTTCGCATATAAATTATATTTCATATAAATATTAATAGGCACTGTATCTTATTCTCATAGAACAAGTTTTGGCTAAATAATTATGCTCGATATTATTAAATCTTCTTGGTCATGGATTTCTTTTCTTGTTAAATAAGGTAAACGTTAATCTAATCATTACACACATTGTGAAGTTGTTTGTCTCATATCCTATTATTAACTGTAAGATAATAGGTCATCGGATTAGTTACCAATAAGTTCGAATTATCAGATGTTATGTTATTCAAATACTCGAATATACCTTGAAAAATAGAAAGAAACTTGAACACACGCACACAGGAAACTTTTATATTAGGACATGTTAGATAATGTTTTTAATTTAATAAACAAATAAAACATGCAAATCTTGACGCATGCCATTCAATAAATAATAAATGGCATGATAAGTGGTTGAAATATTAAATAATTGATAAAAACAACAATACCCAAATGAACTCAGGACTTGAAAGCGATAGTCAGATTTAAATAACAATTAATTTTGCCTATAGAAATATAATTATATTAGAAAACAAAGATTGTCCTTTTTAAAAAGAAGAAACTTGTAAGTTCAAAAAGGAAAAAAAAAATTTCCATGAAACTAATCTCTTCACTTCCACGTAAATTTTAAAATTAGAAATTAAAAATATAAAAAAAATCACAAAAGCATCCGTAACTAAATATCTGATTAAAAACAGGAATGATGTTGTATTACTCATCTTGTCTTTAATGTAAGATTTAATTAACTAATTTGAGTATATTAAAGATATTAGTTAAATTAGTTAATATGCTATTTTTTTTCTAAAAACAATATAATCATCTTTTTTTGGTTCTATCTCCTCTCCTCTGCTTGATTATTATTAAAAAAATATCCATATAATTAATTTTAAAAAAAATTGATGAACATATGAAATAGGTTTTATATATATGATCAATATTAAATTCAGGTCATATATTAAGGATAGTAGAAGCATAAAAAAATGCAATAAATTGTGATTAGCTCAAGTAAAAGGGATTTCATTTCCTTAATAGGTTGAAGGTTTGAATTTTGTGGGCTATATTAAAAAATTTATGTTGTAAGTACTATTATCTTCCATTGATGAGATCAAAATTGATCAAATATGACTGGATGATACTGAATCTCTTAGTTAACAGTCACATCAAGAAAAAATATAAATCAAAACAGCTCATTAGATCTGACAACTTTCACATTTCTAGGATATCATTGAAAGGGATCTTGTCAATATGGGTGAAAATATGGGAATCAAAGGTTCTACGAGAGAATGAGAATAACATTTTTGCTATCCCTTTTCGAACACAATAACATTGAAGAAGAATCCTATGTTATTATTACAAAACACCCATAAGATTATATTTCTATCCGTTTTACTGTTAAAATGTGATGTGATGTTATGGCACCCATAAGATTATATTTCTATCCGTTTTACTGTTAAAATGTGATGTGATACCAAACAAGTTCAAGGAGGTGCGGAAACATGCTGGCGTATCCATAAACATGGAATGCAAATTTATTGTATCATATATTTCGGACTATTGCATTTATTTTTTAAAGTATTGGCGCATTATATGATAAAAATAGTTTAATGAGTAAGATTGGGTCTATTGAATGCGACTAGCCATAATGAATTAAAATTTCAATTTTGGCTGAAAAAGGTGCTTGACAAAAATAGAATTATCACTAATAAAACAATATTATTATGCTATAAAAATGATTCAGATGAACACCATCATGCTTAGTAGTAACTATAATAATAAATATTTATCAAGAAGAAAATTTATATTTTATAAATTTAAAATATTTGGGTAAAATCTAAGTTAATTCATATATATATTTATATATATGGGGACAGCTAAGTGCTTGGTGTTCCCATGCCTTCCTCATTTGCTGTCTTACTCTCTCGTTTAAATACATGATATCATTTGGCCACAATTAGTTGTCCATTAGTGCCTTGTTTTGTGAAATAATAATTGAAAATTGAGAACATTTCATATCGCATTTTGATTTGATACTCTTAATTAGTAAGATTTAAGTAAATAAGATCAAGGCACTAACTGCCACCACTAGCGTCACTTCCTAACAATCAATGGTGGAGCGAGGAGGACAAACAAGGATCAAATTGGCAATTTTTTTTAATAGTTTTATACAACTATTATACATCTTTTGCCTTCTAAAACTTATGCTACCTATTTATGTTGTATAGTGTTGATCTTCTTATAACTAAATTTTAGCTTAGTCCCTGTCAACAATTAATTGCCCACTATTGCATTCGTTCCTCACCTTTCTCTTCCTTATTTTGCTCCCACGGGATGGGAGAGACAAGAAGCTTTCAGTTAATTAGATTCTCAATACTTATTACGATACCTCTCTTGTCATCTCATGGGGGAAATGGGAGGAAGAGGAGTAGGAGAAAAATTTTAGTGAGTTGGATTTAAAAAATTAAAAAAATGTGGTTAAAACTTAAAAAATTTTCATTAATTTTTCTCACTTTTATTTTATATTTTTTTGTTCAAATTTTATAACCTCACTGTTTTAATTTTCTAAATTGAATCCATTAAAATTTTCCTACCTTTCCTCCTCTCTTTCATTTCTCTCATATCAAATATAGGGTTTGTATAAAAGCTATAGGGTCAATCCCATATAAATAAAAGAGATTAATAGTGTTTTATCGATACCATGAATAATAATGTACGTAAAGTTTGCAAGAAATATCACTATTAAACAATAGCAACTCAAATTAGATTTTGCATAATGAGAAAATACAGAACGAAATCAAATTGGTTTTTCTCTGAAGTACTTGATCTAAATAAATAAATTTAAAAGATGGTGCTACTATGACCCGTTTCCCATACGTGAGATATGGCTTTAGGCTTCATTTTTAGCTATGACGAAGGGAATAGAAAAACTTAACAAGATATTGTCTCGACTAAAATATTAGATTATTATATCAAGGAATGCATCGGAGAAAATTTCATACACGCGCGCATATGTAACACACTAATTATGATCATCATCATCATGATCCTTATTCTTTTATTTTTTGAATAAAACATGATCATTATTGAGTTTACCAAGAATGTATTGAGAAAAATATAAAAAGAATGCATTCAAATATAAACAATTTTAGACTCAATCACGTAAATAAAAGTTTAGTTAGAATTGGTTAAAGATAATAAATATGCAAAATTTAGAATTAATCTCTCCAAAATACTTTTATTTATGAAAGAGATAGTATAAGAAAGAAAATAAAAAAAATTATTATAATAAATCTTATTATAAAAGAGAGAAAATGTGTGACAAAAACAGCTAATAGTTTAAAAATGAGATAAAAATATATTGAGTATTACAATAAATAATTAATCAGGACAAAATAGAAAATTTAATAACAAATATTTAGGACAACTTTCAAATGTTATTTATATTTAGAAATAAAAATAAGATGATGGTTGTTATTTATAATATATACACATATATTTTATATATATACATAGAGCAAGTGACCTTGTTGTTCAGCTTTGTGGATTCTACCTTTTCGTCATTGCTTTTGCTGCCAGCTTTTTGGTTTGTGTTCGTTGCTCCAAGTTTGTTAATCCCGACCAAAACAAATTAAATTAAAAATTGAGGTAATGAAATTTTTTGGAAAAAGAAAAAAAACAGCATATGAAGTCAAGGGGAAAAAGTTGCTTAGTGATGCCGCAGTTGAAAGCAAAATGTCAAAACCTAGAATCGCGATTTTCGGGAACTGATGTTTGACGGCTCTCTCTCCTCGTTCCTTGCATCACCTATATATAAATTTTTTTTAATATTTATATATTATTTAATAAATTATTGTTTACCTAATAAAAAGTTTAAAAGCGAGAAACAGGAATCAATAAAATCAATGTAAAAAATAATTCGCCTATCCTTAATTATATGTGTGTGTGTTTTTTCCCTTTTAATTTAAATGGGGTTTTGAGCAAATGCAGGGAACCGTTGGGTTAAAAAATGCAGGGAACCCAATATTTGTCTCAGTAAACTAAAATATGAGAATGTTTTTTGTTTTTGTTCTTGTTTTCTTCCTTTTGCCCTTCTGCAACGCAAGAGATTCAATTCAAGTATTCTTACCCTCGCTCGGTTGTCTTTTTAAAGATGCCAGTTTTAATAATATTTTAATAAACGATTCTGATTTTCCTTTGCCTCCCTTGTTTCTTTCTTTCCGCCTTAATCCAAATGATGTTATTTAACCCAACATCCAAGCAAAGATAGATGGATAGAAATCCCAACCCTGTAGCCGGTGTAGCAATCTTCACACCGTTTTCTGTTTGTTTGGACGCCCCTCACCCACAATACTTTTCTCTTCCTCCTCCGCCATGAAGAGCCCCAGAGAGATTAACTAATGAAGACCCCAATGTAAGAGCCACTCAAGCAAATGTGAATAGCCCCAGTTGTGAAACTTTCAAGAGGAATTATTGTGGAAGCCTCCAAGTCTAGTCAGTGAGAATAAAAAATGGTGAGAAAGAGAATGGCTTCTGAAATGGAAGTTCACAACTCCGCCGGCGATTATCATCTCCGGTTTCCCCGTCCAAGCGTTGTGGCTTCCTCTCTATTATCCACCGTAGATAAAGCAGCTTCAAGCAATAACAGTAAGTATAGCTATCATTGTAAATCTGGCTCACGAGATAACGTTCCTATTCCTAACCCCACAACAGTGACGCTTTCCAACTACTCCACTACCACTCTTCTACCTTCTTCTTCCACCAATCTCACCGTCATGACGTCACCTAACTACAGCAATCGTCATTGCGGTGAAAACCTCTCTCTTCATCCCCATCTTCAAGCCCTTCAACCTCAGACTCATCAGGACCCTTCGCCTGCTCCTGCCGTGTGTGGTTTCTCCGGCTTGCCTCTATTTCCTTCTGAAAATAATCGGGTTGATAGTACCAGTACTACTACGACGGCTGTCGACGGTGTTGCTTCGGTGGCTACAAACGCCGACGCCGGCCGACCTTCTTCTTCCTCTTCTATGGAAGATAGTTCAGCTATGGCTTGGATCGACGGCATCTTGAAGGATCTCATCCATGGCTCCACCGCCGTCTCCATCCCCCAGCTCATCAACAACGTTAGGGAGATTATCTATCCTTGTAACCCCAACCTTGCTGTCATTCTTGAATACAGACTCCGCCTCCTCACGTCCACTAATACTTCTGAATCTGTTCTAAACTATGGTGACAAGAAAAGGACGGAAGCGCCGCCACCTCCGATGGTGCCGGTGGCCGTGGGTTTAAACCAGAGGTCTTTTGGTCAGCAAGTAGGCCCGTCCTTTGCCGCCATAGCTTCCAACTTACATATTCCAAATTCTTCAACTGTTGTGGTTCCTCCATCTTTGGGGAATCAGATGTACTCAAATTGGGGACTACCTACGGTCACAGCCTTAGTCCACGAGGGGGCCAACCCATCGGTGATTACGTTACCACTATCTCCACTGTCATCGTCAAATCATCAAGGTCATTCGCCGCAGGAGGAGCAACAAATTCATGAGAAACAAGAGAATCAGAACCAGAAACAAGAAGATGGAGTTTCTTCCCCTTGTGATAATCGATCAGCAACAACGACGGCGACGGCGGCCTCATCAGCTACAGAAATCTTGCTAGCAAAAAAGAGGAAAGAGGAGTTGCAGCAACAGAAGAGAGACGAAGAAGGTTTGCACCTGTTAACTTTGTTGCTTCAATGTGCTGAGGCTGTGGCAGGTGATAACTTCGATGAAGCCAATAAGATGTTGCTTGAGATTTCACAACTCTCCACACCATTCGGTACGTCGGCGCAGCGGGTTGCGGCTTATTTCTCAGAAGCCATTTCGGCTAGGCTGATTAACTCATGCTTGGGAATGTACGCTACTCTTCCAATGGTGCCTCATAGCCAAAAGATGGTATCAGCATTCCAAGTGTTCAATGGGATCAGTCCTTTCGTCAAGTTCTCACATTTCACAGCGAACCAAGCGATCCAAGAAGCGTTCGAGAGAGAGGGGAGGGTCCATATCATAGATCTAGACATAATGCAGGGATTACAATGGCCTGGGCTGTTTCACATTCTGGCTTCGAGAGCTGGTGGACCCCCTTACGTTAGACTCACGGGGCTTGGCACCTCCATGGAAGCTCTTGAAGCTACGGGCAAGCGATTGTCGGATTTTGCAAATAAATTGGGACTTCCTTTTGAGTTCTTTCCTGTGGCTGACAAGGTTGGGAATCTTGACCCTGAGAGGTTAGGTGTTAGCAAGGCAGAAGCTGTGGCCGTCCACTGGCTCCAACATTCCCTTTATGATGTCACTGGCTCCGATACTAATACGCTGTGGCTTTTGCAGAGGTAGGTGCCTTCTTATTTTTCTTGTAAAATTGACGATTTTCATCTTTATTTGTTTCTTGGGATCTTATGAATTACTTTGTCCTACGTGACTAAGGTAAATGGAGCAATATTTGAGGTTTTTATGGATTAATGGAATATTTTGCAGGTTGGCACCCAAAGTGGTGACGGTGGTGGAGCAGGACCTGAGCCACGCGGGGTCATTCTTGGGGAGGTTTGTGGAAGCCATACACTATTACTCAGCACTATTCGATTCGCTGGGATCAAGCTATGGAGAGGAGAGTGAGGAGAGACACGTGGTGGAACAGCAGCTTCTGTCGAGGGAGATCCGTAACGTGCTGGCCGTCGGAGGTCCGTCGAGGACCGGCGAGCTTAAGTTCTATAACTGGAGGGAGAAGCTTCAGCAATGTGGGTTCAGAGGCATCTCCCTCGCCGGTAACGCCGCCACGCAAGCCAGCCTACTTCTCGGCATGTTTCCTTCTGATGGGTATACCCTGGTGGAGGACAATGGCACACTTAAACTTGGTTGGAAAGATCTCTGCTTGCTCACTGCTTCTGCTTGGAGACCTTCCTTCCACAATAATACTACCACCGCCATCGTCCACCATGGGTGATTCTTGGCGTTTGAATTCTCCCCCTCTCTCTCTCAAGTTTGACTTCTTGAAGATTGGTCATAATTTCACATTGTCATTGCATGATGATTCCGCAACTGAACCTTATGGATACTTCTTATTTTCATTTTCTTCGCTGGTTAAGCAGTCAAACTTGACTAATTTTGCTTTGAACATGTTTTTTCCAGTTCGTATTAAATATACATCTTCATCTTTACCAATTTGTTCTTCTTCCGTCCTTCCAATGAGCGTACGTGCAGGGAATTTAATTCAGGGGTAGTGAGTTGTTAGTGGATATAATGAAGAATAATGAATGCGAGTGTTCGCAGGACGAGCAGTGTCATCAGTCGGCCCAAAATTGACAAATTTGGAAGATAAATCGATTATTTTCAAGGAGTAAATGGATTGTGGGAAATAATTAGTATATCTTCTTCCCATATATGTGGCTTTGTCAATTGTCATGCTACGTTCTGTGGTTTTACTAGCACACAAAAATAACAATTGAAGTCTCTCTTGCAAATAAGTCAGCTTGGTGATTATTTGAATTTAGATTTTTCTTAAATTGTAAAATTTTAAATTATCTTCAAAACAATTCATAGAGAGGAAAAGTGTGAATATATAGAATATGTGAATGACATGTAGATCGTTAATGGATTATTTTAAAAAAAATTAAAAATAAAAGGAAAAAAAAAAATCTGTGGCCACTTTTTGTGAAATTAACGCAAGAAAAGAAGACTTAAGAATTTTTTATGTCTGGTTATCTTCAACGAGTACTATCTTCTCCGTCATTAGCGTAGAATGCAAATCCACCCGTGGCATTGCGCCATTAAGCACGTATTCATTTGGGGGTTGTACTTCTCGTTTCTGAAAATTAGTATTTCATGTATATTTTATTCATTGGTGATCGCAGCATAATGCTTTCTTTTACCTTTTTTTTTTTGGTCTGCATGATATTTTTTAAGGTCTTTATACGAGAGAAAGTAAACATCCCAAACTTTTTTTAAAAAAAATTTAAATTCATAATTTTTGGAGATATGTGAAATCAATTATGAATTCATAAAGTCGGGGTACATCTATGCCATTTCCTGCAATTTTTAAACTAAAACCATGAGTTGAATGGGAGCTCATGTTAGGTGGTCTTGGTTCTGTTAGGACTTGTAATTTTGACTCTTTGCGGTCTTTTTGACCTTTTAAACTCTTGGGTAAGTGTTAACTTGATTCATCTCATCTACACTTATATTGTGAGATGGTGAAAGTCATGGTTTATGTTGGATTTTGAAATGGATGGAGATTTAACTGAATATTTTGAGTTTAAATGAATTATGTTGACTACATGAAGTGTTTAGTCGGTTTGATTTTGTTGTTGATGAAAAGTTTTGTGATCTTAGATTAGGAGACTGGCGCTTGGAATAGGGCAAATGTCAAGTCTAGACTGAGGTAAGAGGTAAGAGGTAAGAGAAGGAATTTGTTCACTCAATATGAGTTGCGTGGCCTGTAGCTGGCCTACATTACACGGGAGGTTCAGGTACTGCCTAGGAATTATGAGGATTAATAAGTTTGGTGTGCAATGCTTTATGTTCGGGAATACTTGGGAACATGTATATTAGTATTTATTAAATTATGCAATTTTTCACTAACTTATGATCCTTTCTTGCATTCTTTCTAAACTAACTATTGGTTATTGAAACTTTATATCTGACCCTGTGTTTACTTAATGTTTCCAAGTAAGAGTTTTAGTAAGCAAGTTCGCGAAAGAGAGACGTTCGAGGCTTGGGCATCTACTTGCCTTTGTTTTGGTATCTGTGCATGAAAGAGATGTATATTGTGATTGTGTGCTACTGGCTTTTTTATCCAAACACGACAAACAGTAAAAAAATTTACTCAGATGCTATAAGATCGAAAATATTTACCCAGATACTACACTTAAAATCGTTCAAACAATGAACGAGTTTAAATTCGTACAGAAGTCGTTCAGACCAAAAACAACTTTAGTGGGATCCACATCACAAAATAATGAAAGTTGTTCTTGGTCTAAACAACTTCAGTGGGACCCACATCACAAAATGAAAGTTGTTCTTGGTCTGAACAACTTCAGTAAGACCCACTATATATATTGTCTTACACTCCACTAAATTAAAATTAGCACAAATTGGACCGAAGAATACTCAAACTTTTAGTATTGCTATGTCAGCCTGAAATAAATAAAACATTAGGTTTGAAAAAAATTTTGTATAAAAGAAAATGATGATATTGATCAGAAAAAACTAAAAAAAACCTTACCCCATAGCCAGTATCACCACTAATACGTTGGATCCATCGTCTTGTATGTCTCCAATACCATTGCATGTATTCAGATGTTCATCAAGTTCACCAAGTACTAGAGGAGCATCAACAACAGCATGTGACCATCTATTCCATGCTTCAATAAGGTTTGAGTATTCTTCAGTCCAATTTGTGCTAATTTTAATTTAGTGGAGTGTAAGACAATGTATATAGTGGGTCCCACTGAAGTTGTTCAAACCAAGAACAACTTTCATTTTGTGATGTGGGTCCCACTGAAGTTGTTCAAACCAAGAACAACTTTTATTATTTTGTGATGTGGGTCCCACTAAAGTCGTTCTTGGCTTGAACGACTTCTGTACAAATTTAAACTCGTTCATCGTTTGAACGATTTTAAGTGTAGTATCTGGGTAAATATTTTTTATCTTATAGCATCTGAGTAAATTTTTTTACTGTTTGTCGTGTCTGGATAAAAAAGCCGTGTGCTACTCCATATTTCCACATGTGAAGAGTCAAAAAGATGATCGAGATAGTACTTTAGGAGAACTAGTCACCTACAATCTTAATCATAAAGACACTACAAGGGGGGTTTTTTTTTTTTTTTTACCAAAATGCTATAAATAGTAAAATTATATACCAAAATATTGTACTTTTAAAAGTATTTACTAATATGCTACACTTAAAATCGTTCGTAGCAAGAATGACTTTTAAATTATATACAAGTCATTTTTTACAAGAACGATTTATATGTTAATTGATAAAAAGTGAAACCGTTCATACCAAGAATGATTTTACTTTTTTCCTATTCATATCCCATGTGAGAATCTCTGCCAATTCATTGGCTTGCAAGAATCTCTGCCACTTACTATGCAAGTGAGAATCTCCCATTCTCTTACTTCATCTCCTTGCATTCGAGCTCTCTCTTCTTCTTCTTCTTCTCACTTGCTCCACTTTCATTGTTATCTTGCTCTGTTATTTTTTCACTCTTGCTTCCAAATACTTGACAAACTCTTTTACTACTGTTGTGGGCATGTTGTTTCGCTTCTATTTTTTCCATTAAAAAATTTGCAGTTGTGATATAAAATTTGATTTTTCATCCATACTACTCTTGATGAGTTAATATTTCATTATTCTAATTTTCAGGAGTTGAGTGGTAGGTTCAACAATATGGAATACAATGTTTCTACTTTTGAATATGGTAGACCATCGAATGAAGCATTTGTCACTCCTCGACAATCTATACATTTAAATGAATCACCTTGGTTTGATTTGATCACGCCAACTACACTAGCAAATGAGACACTTAAATCTCAAGAAATTGACATACAAGAACAACGGCTACAACATACGAGAAGGAGGGCAAAATGTGGTACTGGAAGTCACTGTCAGTAAGGTGGATAATTTTTGCTTTATAAACTTAATTTTTATTTATTATTTTTTACAATAAAATATTTATTACTTTTTATTTTTAATTAATATACATCTTATACTCATTTCACAATTAATTTTAATATCATTATGTAATTATCAACATTTTCCTCCCATTATTTAGTCATGATTTTGTCATTCAAATGATTGATAAATCATTATACTAATCATTTCTATTTTTATTTATTAGGAGAGAAGATGAGAAGTCGTTTAGCAGCAGATGAAGTTTTGAAGTCATTCACCAGAAGAACGATTTTTGAAATCGTTCACCAAAAGAACGATTTTTAGTCACTTCACACACATCGATGACTAATTTTGAAGAAATCATTTACTAGAAGAACGACTTTAAAAATTATTCATCTGAAGAACGACTTTAAGTATAGCATATTGATAAATACTTTTAAAAGTGCAACATTTTGGTATATAATTTTACTGTTTGTAGCATTTTGGTAAAAAAGCCCACCATAAGATTGATCTTTCTTTTGATACAATCGGGGTATTCTCATTGTTAGAATGACTGACACTAATGCATCTCTGTTGTTAGGCTCACAAATTCATATCAAAACCATACAGTATAGAGGCTCAACTAAGGTTGATTTCTTGTATAGTCAATTCAAAGCTCAATTTCTAATTAATTATGTGTTGTGAAAATTAGGAAAAAAGGAGAGAGAAATTTAAGGAAAAGTAATTTTTTGAGTAAGAGTAATAAAAGAGATTTTTTTTTTAATGAAAGTCAAAATGATATTAAAAGATAATCAATTTACATAGTCTCCTCGTAGAAAAGAGAGTAAGAGATAAAATGACCAATGATAAACCTTCCAAAGGATGAACATATGACTGCCATAGTTCAAATGCTGAGAAGATGCAAATAACTGAATCTAAATATTAATCTTAAGGAACTCCTGAAGTCTTAATTGTTTAATTAGCAATTACAACTAGAACTCTAAATTGTAATTACTTTTTAGACAACTATTATAAAAAACTACTCAACTCATAATTCACTTTAATTTCATAATTTCTCGTCTAAAATAATTATCAATAAAAAATTTAAGAAAATCAATCAACTCATGCGCCACATTCATACAATACAAATTAATTGAAACAGGAATACAAGATATAATTTAATGACTACAAATAATAAAATATAAATAGAATTACAAAAGTTTGATACAAAAATTATTAGCTAGCAAATGAAAGTTTCAAATATGAAATTTCAATACCTAAAAAGCTAAAAAATCATTAAATTCATAAAGAGAAAAATAAAACTTATAACTCCTTAGATAAGACATGAAATTCAAGCCCTAGGGTTCATTTTCAGAAAACGCAAGGGAACTAGCCACTCATATAGCTAGAATAAATCATCATGATAATATTACTGGAAACACTCCTTTTTACGCCCCTTGTCTACATTGGTTATTATGCCAACAATGTAATAAATGAGGTGGTGATATTTTTATAAATAACAATACAATGTTTACACCACATAAGCACGCATCTAGTGTAATATTTTTCA